AACCTTATTTTCAATAAGCAATCCTGAAAAATAGTTGGGGGTGCTTAACTTTTTTCCAGGTGTATATATAGACAGAACACCACCACCCTACTCCCTACTGAGTGGAATTGGTCGCATTCAGGAAGCAGCCTCCATGGACCACCACACTAACATCTAGAACTGGTGACAAGAACTTCCAAGCTCAAAAAAAAGGGGTGGGGTGAGGGTGAAAGCATAATAGGGAGTCTGGAGGACCATGAAAAACCTTATTTTTAAAAGCAGGCCAGCAGTAGGTTTCAAACTAGGCATGGAGGATGAGCTTGAGTTCCCTGCCAGCTTTACTTATACTAGTCCATTAGCAGGTACAGATTGAGTTTGGCCCTATTTAGAGAAAGGAACACCACAAAAATACCATGTGCAGCCTTGTGGAACACCCCATCTCACTGATGAGCATCCTACCAGATTAGGACAGCCCTATATTGTGGAGATCCTGATTAAGTATACCATGACAGGCAACACAGATCACTGAGTGAGATCTTGTAAGAGACTAGTGGGCTCTGTAAAAAATAGGGTAAGAAAAAAGAAACATCCAGTTAGAGACAGTTTGTTGTGTTAAGAACAGTAACTAGAGGCAGTATATAATCCAATGAGGAAGAAATGGCCAAATGATGGAGACAATGCAGGAAACATAGATGAGAGAAGAGAGGAGTATCTATCAGGGATACATTTTCAATGTTGGAAAATTTTCATTTTTACATCCGAGGTACCTTCCTTAATTACATTTTGCTTGAAATCTTAGTGGGCTGGTGCAGTTCTTATAATTGGTATTTAGGTCTGAAGACCTGGAAGGGTCAGGTGCATATTACCTCTTCCTCCTCCTCCTGTTAGATGCTATCAGCTACTGTTGGATACAAATTTAACTATTACATGAGGGTCAGAGTATCTCACACTTACTCCAACTCCTTTCAGAGCAGTGTCCATGTAGGTACTTACATTTGTATTCATGCAAATAAATACATTAATTCATGGTTGGAAATGTCCTGTACATGTTCCATATGAATTTGTCACATTTGTTAACTTTACACTAATGGAGAGCATTTACATAAATACCCTTTCAATGCTGTTATATCAGCTTAAAACTAACGTGGGTTTCTTAGTCTAGAATTTGGTGGCCTGATTATTTCAAACATATATATTTACTGGTTAGAAGTATTTAGAGCTATCTCCATCGTGTATGCAGAAGCAATCTAGTACACACAGGTCCTTTTTTGCCTATTTCTTCTTAAGTAATTTAGTGAATTATGTTGCACTCTATTGGATATAGTTTTTATATTTGCATATCTATGCATATATTTTGATGAGGCGGTTCTGGGTACTTTGTATGCTGTGGAGAGTAATGTATTTTGTATGCTTTATATTTTATTTGTGGTTTTTGGTGCTGTGTTTATTCATACTGGGCATGCATATTAAATCACTGAGCATATGTATATTTTATAGATTTAAATTATGTTGTCTGCTGTGGTTTTGTTGTTTTTACCCATTAGACTCCTTACATAATTTGTGCATTTCCAAACTTTTGTTAGAATATTATTTACATGTTTAACCCATATCAATTTGGTATCATAGGTTAGTCCTAGTGTTCCATTTATATATAATTTGGGTGGGTTCTTTTTTAGTTTTATGAAGACTACCAGTTGATTTTTGGGGACGTTATCTTTAATACAGTATTTTTGGCAATATTAATGGATACTCTTCTGTATTTGGTTTTAAAATGAATTAGTTAGCACTTCACATATTATGCTGGTCTTATGCTTAATTTCTGGACTTTTGTTAGTCATGACTGTTTCTAGTATGTTATATTTCATTTTTGATTAAGTTATCTAACCTCTATTAAATTATAGGTGTTTAATTACCAAGATTCTTTTCTCTTTTAGTTGTACATAACAGTGTTATTCCAGTCTTTTTGCAATTCAAGCTAGCTTGTGTCTATGCCATCAAAATCGTCTATATTTTTGGTACTTGTCTTCATGAAGTAACTTAGCCAAGATTTTCTTGGTTTTTATATCGTTAAGGTCACATCTTCTTTTAAAATAATGCTTCAATTTTTAAGAGTTATTTTAACATCTTCCATGATTTGCCCGAGATAACTTAAGTGCACTCCATGTTTCAAAAAATATTTGCCCAAGTTAATCCAGGCAAAATATTTATTGCCATATTTCAAATTATTTGTCCAAATCGATTTACATACTATCATGTATTACAATCAGTATTAGCTAGATGGCATTGGTAGTGCTATTTGTGCTGACGACTATCAGATTTATTCTGAATTATGTATTGTGAACACTGGAGAAAAGTACTAATGTTTATTGTAGTTTCACTGAAATAATATGTAACATTTATTTACCCAGTATATTTTGTTCAGAAATATATTAACAGATCACTCAAAAAGTTTTGTTTCATTAGTATATATAAGTATAGGCTATCAAAAAGTGGAATAAAAAATTGCTTTTTATAGCTCATTTTGAAAAAAATCCTGGCACAGAAGAGGTTAACCAATTATTCATCCCATTTTAATATCTTGTTTTCTTTGAATGGGTTATATTTTTTCAATGTCAGTTAACTAGCATACAATCCATTAAGTTATTGTTCTTTTCCATCTTCGTAGAGCAGTTTGTATTCAATTACACAATTATCATTTATTGATTGTGTTGTTATATATAGTTTTTGACAATTCTATCTAACAATACATTTTGATTACTTCTACAACTTATTTTCTTATGAAGACATTACGTATAGTAATTTGTATTGTGTGAAACCAAATATATTGCATAAAATACACAGCTAAGATGGTGATGCAGTAACAATTTGTATCAATTTCATATGAAGAGTTAGATTAAGTTCTTTATCAAATCACCAAAGATATATTATAGTGAAAATAGTTATAGTTTTGTAAAGTTTTAGTCCAGTATTTTATTATTTTCACCACTTGTTATATTAAGTTTTGATCTAGCTTGAAGAATAGCTATTATCTCATATAATCATTGATAGAAACCAGTTTCACCTGTGAAAATGCTATAGTTTATTTGTATCTATTTTTTAAATAAATTTTTCATTTGAATAATTATTATTAACATTAATTTAAGAATTTCTGTGTTTCTTGTTATGCATACAGGAAAAAATATTTATGATAATTATGAACTACACACACACATACATATGTAGTTGCTCCAAAATATAGGTATTACCAGCTCAGAAAAGATTGTGTAAGACATTGATTTATTGTTATTCAAGTATAATTTTATGTCATATATAAATGTTGTGCTTTATTATCTGTCTTAGAGTACTAAAATTCGTTTTAATAATGTAGGCTAATATGTGTTTGTAATGTCAACAAGCATACGGATATAAAAAGAATCATATTTAACGTCATATATGAATAGAATGTCAAAAACCATGCTTACTTATTATGGCATAATAGTACATAACTAAACTTCAATATCTTAAACAAATATATTTGGTTTTAAGGTTATAAGTTTAATAGAAGAACTGATGCATCAACTGCAGTGGGACTTGGGTGATACCGATAAAAGGATAGAAGCTGGTGTAGTTCAAGTACCTGGGGATGATAAATTAGACGTCCAACATTGGCGTTTTTGGTTTCGTGCATCTTTTAGTTATTTATCTGAAAGCACTGTTCACTACAGCAGAGACGCAGAGAATTATTTAGTGTCAGCTGTTTGGAAATCCATGATAACTGATCGTCAAGTAAGTTTTTATATTATAGTGTTTATACATTTTGCTTTTCTGTAACGTAAGAAATCAGTTTAGACTAAGGTAGAAAGATAAACTTTTATTTGTTATTCTGTGTTACACAGAAAAAGAAATATTTTTGTTCATTACTATATTTTTCACAGAATCTATTTTCTCATCATTTTGTGGTAAGAGAAACATTTTTACTTGCTAGATTATGATACTAAGAAACTGCTAGTTTTTATTCTACCATCCAAAATGAATATTATTCATTAGTGTATGTTACATATTAACATTCTTATTTGTTATTCTCTCTTATGCACAAAATTCTTATTCAGCATTCAGTTTTATATTAAAGCATTTTTATTCTATATTATAGAGATTCTTTTGTGTTCCACAACTAGGTTTCTAATAGTCAGTCTGTTTTACCCAGAAATGTATTTTCTTGTAATCCTAGATTCAGAAGAAACACTCTTTCTTGTTATTCTTATTCTCTCTGTTTTACAGAGAAACATGTATTTGTTATTATAGGTCATGTAAACCATGTGATGTAACTAGTCTAGGTTACACAGAAGCATTTTTTCATGTTATTCTGTGTTATAACCAAGAATTCATACTTGTTATTCCATTTTGCCTAAAATTGTCTAACATGTAATCCTGCATTAGGAAGAAACATATTTTTTGTACATAATGTATCTTACCATTTAATCAGTATTCCAGAGGAATGTTGTTCCTTGTTACATAGAAATATTGCTGACTAGTGTGCTGTGTTGAACTTAAATTCATTTGATAATTTGTCCCCCAGTGATAAATTCACAGATTTGGTGCTCCATTCCCTGCTATGCACAGTGTGCAGATTGCCAAATGTGTAGGTTTGTGCTAAACAAATTAAACTTGATATCTGTCTTACAGAGAAGTGTTTTTACTCACTAATTTATTTTAAATATAAACATTTTTACCTTCTATTACACAGAAGAATTTTTGTTCATTACTCTGTTATGTAGAGAATTGCTTCTCATTTTTCTCGGTTGCACAGAAACATTAGTACTAATTGCTCTATATTACATAGAAGTCTTTTATGTGCTACTTTGTGTTACATAGAACATTCTCAGTCACTTTTCTGTGTTGCACAGGAACATTTTTACTTGTTAATCTGTGTTAACAGAAACATTCTTTCCTGCTATTCTGTTCTACGCAGAAACATTTGTTTCTCACAAACCTTAATCTTAGGAAAACAGTTTTACATGTTATTATCTGATACTCAGAAACATTCTTGTTATTCTGTGTTTACAACATAAAAAAACCTTCTACCACATTGCTTTGTGTTACTTTGGAACTTTATGATTATTCCATGCTAAACATAAACATTAAGTTGTGTTACCTAAACATTCCTGTTTGTTAATATATGTTACAAAGAAATATTGTTGTTCATTATTGTATATTAAAAAATGCATTCTTACATATTCCTTGATGTTATATGGAAATATTACCATTCTAACTCCTTATTCTTTTTTACCCAAAAACATTCACTCCCATTCTTCTGCATTACATAATTATTTTCACTTGTTATTTTTATATTGATTATTATTGATACACAAATTTTCAGTTACATTACATCATCATTATCTTGAATGTTCTCAAAACAGTGGAATACTATACCTGTATAAGCAATTATTTTCTTTACAGTTGGATGATTTTCAGGAAGGAGTGGAATACGAAATTCAGTGGCACTTCAATGATTCACATGAGATAAGAGCTGCTGGTCTTCTTCAAAATGATAGTATTATTTCCAGAGGAAGTTGTAAAACTCTACCTTTGTCAATAGTTGGCTCGATTTTTCATCTTGAACCGTTCTTCTCTTTATCTATCTTTAGTTTTGGCAACTTTGCGTCTTTCAACTGGGCTGCTATGGCTTATAAAAATGACTTTTATGTAAGTGCTTATTTCATTTTCGAAACAGATTGTTTTCATTTTCTGTAGCAAAATAAAGTTATCTTGACCCTTAAAACTTTTCAAATTCACTCTTGAATTTCAAACTTAACTTATACATAAGGCTTGTTATTTCCATCATTTTTTACTGTAAAATTACATATTTAGATGTGAATCTTTGTGTAATAGAACAAACACTTGAAAATTTTTAACAGTGGTTCCGTGAGCCAGGGAGACTAAGTTTTGCAGAGCCAAAATTTTCAAGTCATCCCGATAAATGTTTTTGATTGGTTAAAATTTGTAGTTGAATTGTGCTGGGAAAAAAATGTTGATTGCAACCCTTTTCGTCTTCAGAGGTGATCTGAGGGCTGAGATCCAAACTTCATCAGGATTTTGTCTATACTTCTGAGGCATACATTAATAAGAATAGAGCCATTAAACTGTAAATGTAAAGCTTAAGAAGTGCGCTACGTGTTTTAAATGCAGTGGATGTGATGGATTAAATCCTCAAGTCAAATTACTACCTTTTGCTGGATGGAAACAAACTATGAGTGTAGCAAAGAAAGCAGCATTAGCACAACAACGGCAAAAAAGATAACATTGATTACACAAATGACATGAGCAGTTCTAGTGATATTGAAAATCCAATTCCCATAATGCAAGTAAGCGGTGACATGGCTTGTACTGATGGCATGGATAATGAAGACATGGATCTTGTACCTACAGCTACAAAGAGATCGAGAACAAAGCGCAAATCCAGATCAAGTACACTGACTGGTACAAATCGTTTATCAGGAACTGATTTGCATGCTATTCGGACATTTCTTGGAAAGGAATATACGACCATATCGAATTTTCCATCTGAACAAGTGCATGATACATCAATGTTCAATGATATGGAAAGAAAAGCTGGTTTATTACATTTTGTATGAAAGATTTAGGAGTGCCAAAAGACTCCTGATGGATTATTACAGGCTGTTGGTGACGTAATTGCTGGAAGTGGTAAGAAATATAAACTTTGGGAAGCAGTGAGAAAAGTACAGGCAACCTTACCAGGAAAATCAATTCAGATGAAAGTAGTTATGATGCTTCAATGTCAAACTATGACACAGAAGACCACAGAAGCTTTAGGAGTGGGTAGGAAAGCATTTGATACTGCGAACCGACATTACCAGAGCTTGACGCAGGGTTTTGAGCTTGTAAATCCAGTTCGCTCTGCTGCAAGATGTAATCCCAGTGTTGTCAAACAAGCTGTTGAATTTATCTTGAGTCTCAACAGCATTTTGCCTTTATCGTGGGATACAAAGAAAATTTACTTAGATGGAAAAAGAGTATGATTTTCCATGATTTACAAGACAAAAGGTCATCGAGTTCTTTTATCTTGATTACATAGAACGATTTACATCTGCAGATAATCGAATATCACATACATCATTCTGCAAAATGGTAACAGCATTAACAACATTTGATCAGAAATCCCGAAAAGCTGCTGATTATGCTTCTGGAATTTTATTGTATGAGAATATGAGACTCTTGAGTAAGCTAATTGGGACAATTGAAAGCCCTCATGTGATTGAGCATGTTGACGAAGCTCGTGCATTTTCTCAAGTATGACTTCAATGCTCATATTGCTAAGGATAATGCTACTTCACAATGCATTGAATATGCATTAGGTCATGGAAATCCAGTTCCATGTAGAAAATGTGAAGAATGCCAATTGCCCTTCCGGACAAGTCATTACTTTGTTAAGAATATTTCTTCTGAACATCATTTCTTGCTACAAGATTGTAGAAACAAAATGAAATTCTATATGGGCCATTGAATTAGAGTAGAGAATCAATGCAGGCATATTCATGAAATTCACTGTCAATTGAAATTAGATGAGGCTTTGGTCATTATGGGTTATAAGATGAAATGTGAACCCATTTACTTCAGGGAGAAAACTATAAATCATTATGGGAAGAAGGTACAATGGTGTATACGAAAGTAGAATCTACATCAGATGAAGATGGTGAATTAAAGACAGCTATCATATTATGATGACGTATCAGGTGAAGATTCCCAGCAAGATTGGGTGGTAGTCTTATCAATATTGGAAAGCATCATGATGAAAATGAAAATAGACCACTCAGCAGTAAACAAATTGTTCATTCAATCCGAAATGCAAAATACTATGAAAATGGATATCTCATATTGAGAATAGACTTAAAATAAAACCCAAAATTCGAACCAATTTGAATAATTGACTATTCTTCTTCAAGAGAACAAAGGTTGACCTTTAGCCTTTAACCACAAATATTCAATCAAAATGAACAACGAACTACGAGTTGCCTGACCACTCTCTTCACGACATGATACTGACAGGTATAGAGACAAATTTTACATCAAACAGAAACAGGGAAATTAAAGAAGCTTACTGGACAGCACTGTTAATGGCATCAATCTCGATCCTAGGATTGTTGACCTTCCAGCGTCTCTAAAGAAATTCCAAATAACTTGTAATTAAGTTTTTAAAGTTTTATTTTATTGTTATTATTATTCACATTTTTATTCATGCTTCTGTTTCTCTTCCTTATTATTTCAGGTATCGATTCACATTATTATTTTCTCAAGCTCTCATCTTCCTATGTATTTTATTTTTCTCTATAATAATTTTTTTTTTTTTTTTTTCTTCTCTACAAACAAATTCTCCCTCCCAGGAGACTAACGGCTTCAGTTGGGATTGACTGGTCACCAGATTCAACTCATCTGGGACTTCCGGTTTACATGACGTCACACACACACATCCTACTATATATTGCATTACACAGGCTAAAGGTTACCCTTTGTTCTCCTGAAGAAGAATAGTCAAGGTTCAGGTTATATAAGGTTAGATAATATAAAATGAACAAAAATACTACTAATAATAAACAAAATTCATGAATTATGCTCGTGAGTAGTCCATGTGTTGAGTAATTTGACAAAGTAATTTGAGCTATAGGTTTGCTAAGTGATCTATAACTTGTGTGGCAGGATTATTAGCTAGACATGGTTCATAAGGCAATAAAACAATAAAATTAAATATAAATATATGTATAATGTTAGAAACATTAAACTATTTAGAATAAACAGTTGTGGTTTTCTGTTACAATTTGCAGTGATGCCAGAAAAAAAGGGTAATTTAGAATTATTTCCTAATTTTTTATGATGGTTAGGAGGTCGGTCAAACTTAATATTTATTGAGGAAATTTTATGATTTATGCAAACCAAATCTAAAAATTTTCAGATGAAGAAAAGTATTTTAACTTTAACATGAAAATCACTTTGCGCTTAGTTAAATAACAGAGAAATCGTGACAGTTATGGGACATTGTCTGCTTTTTTAATATTATTATTCTGTGTTCTTAGGTGCACTATTTAATTAAATAAAAATTTATTTTTTGCAGTAGTACCATTAGTATAAAAAAGTAGGGTTAAATTTCATTGACAGTTGACAGCAAAAAAAAATCTAGGTAAGTACTATATTTCTTGTTTTTCATGTGTATTCTTTATTGTTAACAAAGTAGCTAAAATCTAAAAATTAGAAACTTTTTATGTTAGATAAGGTTAGATTAGGTAAAGTAAATCGATAGGGTAATTTGAGTTACACATTTGACAAATGATTCTGATATGGTACATTATCTGATCTCACATAAATAGCTATTCTCGTTCAGTGCCGCCCTCTATATGCAAAAAAAACCAAAACATTTACACATGCCACAAGCCTTTTATCTCCTCTCCATTGGAATTGGCTGATTCCAATTCATCTCTCTAGCAAATCATTATGCATCAACCCTCCACTAATATGAATGCGACATACTCTCATGATGCATGTAACTCCCTGTTTTCAATTCTACCAAACTATCACTGCTTGATAAATTATGGACTGAGAAGTAAACATATAATGTTATGTAAATTATGAGTAGGTGGGAAAATATATGGAAAATAGTTTTTTATACTAAAAAGCTACACTGAGATTCATAAACAAGCACATATCAGTAGCTGATACCAAACTGTCAATAATTTACCTAAAAACTGAACATTTATACACTATATAGATGTACATTGAAGTATTTATTATGGATTTTTAGTGAAACCACAAGTAAATGAAAGCTGACGTTCAACATTGCTACCAAAATGTTATCTGAAGATAAATAACCAAGTTTAGATCATTAGTTGAAAAAAAGCTATGAAAAGCTTAAATATAAACTGTAAAATTGTACACTATTCAGAAAAATACTGAAAACTTTGTACATTTATCTTGAGCAGAAACACAATATATGTATAAAGATATAATAAACACTATATCTAGTATTGTATAATAGATAAAAGCAATTATATTCAAGATACACAAAAAACTGAAATTGTATGCTCTTTCATACTGAATACATAGTCAAATATGTCTTTGTGAAAACATTGGCTATACCAAAAATGAAATAAACATTTAGAAAATTAGTGCAATGTAACAGTTTTCAAACATTAAAAAGTAGAATTGCATTTGAAACAAGCGGAAAGACCTAAATATAAATGCTGAGTGATGGTTATTAAAAAAATACAAATATTAAAGAATAAGCAAGGTGTTATGAACACCAAACCTTTACTAAAGAAACTAGTTTTTAAGATAATAAAATAAGAAGAAAATAATAGGAGTCAGAGTTTTACTTTTATTTCTAATAAAAAAACTAGAAACACAATGCCTGAATTTATTTTTAAAACATTTGTAACAAGTGCAAAAGTTAGAAACCTAATTACCCATAACATATTGACTGGCTTTAGTGGAAATAAAGTTAACTTCTTTGAAAAGTCTTAGAGTTATGGTACTCTTTATAGTACCTTACACACAGATGAACTTTGCACTGCTTGCAAATCATCATAATTACACTTAGTTGGAGGTACAAACTGTACCTTTTCTTATCTTCAACAAATATTGGAAAGTACTTCCCAAGTGGGAGTCATTCAATGAATCTGCTAGAATTGGTGAAGGAATACTTGACAAATGACTCTACTTTCAATTAGTGGTTTCACAAGGGATTCCACTAATTGTAAGTGGAAGATCTTCTGTTT